TTTGTTCAAATTTATTATTGGGATTAAGGGAGAGTTTTGACGAGAATGTATATTCAATTGGTTAAAGATTACTAAAGTACTAGTACTTTTGTAAATGTTACCTGAAGATAATGAAGAACTTCCAAATTCAATTACTAATCATTTCTGATCAAGTCACTCAAAAACCCATTTTACAAATTCATCTTTAGTTTACTCATCTCATAGTTTTAATCAATCTTAAGCTTTTCTTAAGCTTATATAACACCTAAAGACCAAGAACTAACTTAAAATGAAAGGAATAATCAACTTGAGACTAACTCACCTTAGGTATGAACTCACGGTAGAGAGGAGGAAGAAAAGATGAAGATGAGAGAATTCTAGATTTCATTTTTTCTTTTTCTCAACGTGTTTATAATACACCACTAATGAATTTTTAATTCATTTTCCTATTTAATGACCATTATATTTTTTCATCTTTTAATTCTTGCTAATCAAACTACACCAATAATTTCAGTTAAATCCCTGAACTTTCAATTTATCTAAATTGATCACGAAGTTTTAAAATCTTATATTTTAGTCAGTAGCCCGGTATTTAGGACGCTACACCACCATTTCCCTTCCGCCGTGGTAAGTGCCCTGACCACCTTATTTCGTTCGATTCACCGTGTTTAAGTTGGGTTTTAATCTATTTTAGTTAAATTGTGATGAGTGTTTGAACATAGAGCAATCGACCGACCATCCCAAGAACGACGCCACACACCCCCATGCGCCTCCGCGTGCACGTGGGCATGTTCTGTCAGCCCTGAAAATCTTCTAGAACCGGTCTAGCAGGTCAGAACCAGCCCAACCCGACTGAAATCGGTCAACCTGACATGCCTGCCCAACTAGTTTGACCCGAATCGAACTGGTTTGACCTGACCCGAATCGTTAACCGTATAACGGTCAAACCGTTGACTTTATCTGTCTGATCATTGACTTTGATTAAAAAAGTCAAGTTTTTCAAAAATCACTATTTTATATTTTTCGACATCATGAGTCCGAATACGAAATTTGTTTCTCCAATTTCACACATGGTAAGACGTTTTTCAATGTTTTATGTTCGGATTCAAATTGGTTTCTCATTTAAGTTCAGTTTCTAACGTAAATTCGTTTGTTATGTATCCGAGGAATTATTGGTCATTGAATTCAAGTTCGAGAGTGATCAAATGGAGATTAAATGTTTGATCGGTGGAGAACATAAATCGAGGTAATACTATTCTATCTTTTACATGCTTTCCGGAACACATTGATAATTGATAAATACATGGATGAGAATAATTAGTCCATGAGAATTAGTTAATTATCATTGGACTCAAAAGTAAATTGGAATAAAGACGGAACATTGTATAAGACTCTGACGTCTCGAAAAAGAAATTGGTAGACTGATCGGAAACAAATTTTAGTTCAATGATTTAATCAGTAAATTAATCAATCTCATAACACGTAAATCCTGATAATCTCGTTAAAGATTAAATGTTGGAAATATTTGGATAAGAAATTTCCATCTATGAGGTAAAATTACAAAAATGCCCTTGGAATGTTAAAAAAGACCAAGACTTCCCCTAGTGGTGAAAATAACCTCCAGTGATCAAATGAATAAAGAAATCTGAACTTAAAGAGTAAAAATGACTATGGATGAATATGATAATATAGACGACTTGAGAACTTAAATTATAATCCACTCGAATCTGGAAATCACATATTAAATTCCTGATTTAGTTAGAATGCCCCTGAAGTGTAATATTATTCGAAGCACGTCCAAGCTATAGAATAACTAAATACCCTCAACTTTGAAATGAACAAATCAACCTTGTATTCCAATATGACTATATTATATGACCAAGTTAAACGGAATGAAATTATTGTATGTATTCGAATTTTGAAAACGATAGAATTACTTTGGAAACTCCGAAGTAGCCGGGATAGTCTTGATTACTAAATGACCTTAGTAATCTCGATTACTTAGTATTAAGTGAGTGACTTGGATAAGTCTGGAAATGCTGATGAACTTACATGATGTATAATTCCTAAGGGTTATGAACCATGAATCAAACACATCGACATTTCCTGATAACGTTGTAATGTCGAATTGGAATAAAGACCATTGGAATACCTGTTTATCTCCCTAAGACTCATTCAGCGATGATTCTGAAGATGATCAATGGACAAGAGTTATTTGTATTATAAAGTGAATATTATGGAAGTGCAATGATTTGACTGGTTGATAGATATCATTGATGGGATTTGTACAGTTCAAGTTAACTCGATATTCCGATAGATCAACACAAGTCGTAGATGCCGTAAATCTTCTTATCTCCCTTATCAGCTCAAATCACCAAGAATTCTCTAAGAACCTAATGCCCAAAATGCCTCTGATTTCCTGAATAATGGAATCATTCATGTTATATCTGAAAATACAAGTAACTTAAATGCAAAGGATTCTGAATACCTTTCTGATTTCATAGTGCCTCCAAAAAATGTTTGAATACTATATGATCATGATAAATCACGTTCTGAATAACTGATGATTCGTCAGCTAATGAACTATTTTTATAGTGATTTTAATTTCCAGCATTATATGAGTATACTGAAAACCCGTGTTTCCCTGTCCGATAAGATTATCAAGTACCTCCGAATAATATTTGGAACTTCTAGTGTATTCCCTGATTACATGTATGTTTTCTCTGATTTATGTTCTGATCGCTACTCTGGTTTCTAATATCTCTGTTTACTGATAGAAATTATTTTTATACGGGGTATTCTGGGACTTTAGTATGACTAGGGATGTGTATGGAACCTGAACCTGACGGGTTCCAACCTAACCCGATCATGTCGAATTTTTTTAAAAAATTTCGGGTTCGGTTGGGTTTTTTCATGTAAAGTTCAGGTCGGGTTGGGTTCAGGGTGAAAATTTCTCGACCCACCCGAAACGAAAAAATATAATTTTACCTTAAATATTTAGGAATAATTACAATAATACTGCTATATATATTATTATTTTTCAATTAAGTCACTATTTTTATTGAATAAAAATATTTTTTTATTATTTCGAGTCAGGTCGAGTTTTTAAGTTATATATCGAGTCGGGTTCAGGTCTGATCTCGGGTGGAGGACTCCTTGTTCTCGGGTCGAGTTGGGTAGACCAAAAACCCGACCCATGCCCATCCCTAAGTGTGACTAAAGACTCTGGCAAGTTCAGATGCTATTGTTAATTCATTGTATATGTTCACAATTGACTGGTAATTCCTTATGTCTGCAGATTCAATCGTTGCTGGTAATTTCTTGTATAGGTTCATCACCGACTGATAATTTCTTGTATAGGTTCATCACCGACTGATAATTTCTTATGAACCTAAGACGACCATTGGGTAGGCTTTGCGGCCCCTGAAATCTTTCTTAAGTAGGCTCTCACGGCCCAATGTGCTCTCTTAGGTTATGCAGTTCTGGAGAGCTGCATATGGCGTTTGGTTAGAGGGATTAGTATGGTTTTTGAAAAATACGTTTTAAACTGCTATGTTTTAAAAAGATCTATATATTTTCACTGGTTTTGTGGGAACACGCTAGACATTTGATTTTGATCTCCTTAACCCAATTATCTAAAACATTTCCTCTGAACTGAAAGCTTACTGTCTTTTACTATCTGAGATATCAGTGGGACTTAAGCTAACATAAAAGTCTGTAGATGTATGAATCAATAAGGAAACTTATGTTTATCTGTTATCTGCATGTTTTTCAGCATCAGCTGGTAGTTCTGTATTACTGAGCTTCCCAAAGCTCACTCTGTTACTCACATTTTCAGGTTAAAAGAATTGAATCAGTGCAAGTATTGACGTCAGTAAGGGAGTTTCATTAGCGTTTCTTATGGAGTACGGTGCATGGAATTAGGGGGCATGTAACTTGTATTTTGTTTTTATATCTGAGCCTGAAATCTCTTTTATTTATGAATATTATTAAATTTTAATTTTGTATTTATAAATTATTTTATGATTTCATATGTTTTAATAAAAAATTAATTTTTTTCGAGATTTTTATGGTGGGTTGCTCCAATGGCCCTAATGTGACACCCCGGATATGATCGGGCCACTCGCACGGTCTGAGGGGGTTACAGTTTTGGTCACTACAAATTATTTTATTATTATTATTATATGATGTGGCATTTTTTATTATTAAAATATAAAAATAATTTAAAATAAATAATAAAAATAATATTTTCACGTCTCCGCCATCTATAACATCACCATCGTCCTTTCTTGTCATCTTCGACCGCTATTAACCTTTGAAACCGACAATTGTTTGATCTCAAATTTCTATTGAGAGACTAGCTTTGACACATTGAGTCTGAATTTAGTGGTTGTTTCACCGTAAAATGTCATAAAACCCTTGAATCTCGACTATACATTTTGATTTCATCACTTTTGATTTTCTATTTGTTGACTTCAGAGCATGTTTTGACAAAATAAAGGTTGGATTTAGACTCAAGGGTTCAAGGCGAAGTTACCCATGAAATCTTGGACCGAAGGATCGCCATCTATGGCGGTCGACGTTTCAATTTTCTCACTTTTGATCAAATTTTGAACATTTTCTGACAAAATATAGTTCAAACTCGAAATCAGGGGTTGAGACAAAGAGATCGATGAAATCTATGACCGAATGGCCACCATCTACGACCGTCGATGGTGGCATCTAACGTCGGCAAACAGTGGACGACAACATAGTAAAATAATAATAAAATAATTCAAAGTGGTCAAAATATGAACAATTCGAACATTTAGTGAGTAAATCGGAAGAATTGAAAATATAGTGAGTAAATATGTGAGAAAATAAAATTTAGTGAGGAATGATTTAATTTACCCTTTAATAAAAAACTGTAGCTAATAATATAAAGCTTACGAAAAAGGGAAAAAGAAATATAAATCTCTAAATATTAATATTATATTTGTATAAATCATATATAAAATCATACACACTTCTAGCTCTGGCCTTTTCGGGTCGATTGAATATCACTTCCCTCTCCAACACCAACCATATGGCCAAACTCTCTTTCGGCTCCACATTCACCATATCCCTTTCCCTCCACAGATTTCACCCAGTCACTGCCTTCCACGTCTCCACTCCCACCACCACAACCAGCACACCATCCCCTGATCACCACCCTTCCCTGGAGGTCTTAGGCGGAGCTCGCGACCGCTTCCTCCCAGCTCTCCATTCCACCCTCCGCCAACCTTACAAACCTTTTCCCCTCATCGGTTGGAACCGACACGTCGAGACCATTTTCGCTTCCTTCTTCCGCAACGTCCCCGACGTCAGGTTACGTCGGGAATGCCTCCGTGTCGAAGACGGCGGCACCGTCGCGCTAGACTGGGTCTCCGGCGACCATTACAGCCTCCCTCCCGATGCCCCAATCCTCATTCTGCTGGTACAACATGAAATGATATCCTCATCTTTGAAAAGAAACACTACTAGTTAGTTAATCATCTTATCCAAGTAACTTGGAATTTTACTTGAACTTCTTTTTTCTTTGAAATTTGCAGCCGGGTTTGACTGGAGGAAGCCAGGATTCATATCCAAGACATTTGATAACTAAAGCAAAGAATAAAGGGTGGCGCGCCGTGGTTTTCAATAGCCGAGGTTGTGGCGAGAGTCCAGTCACCACTCCTCAAGTAATGATTACCCTTTTCCCCTTCTATGCTCCTCTATTTGGGCGATTTGTTAATAATATACTTCTGTGTGTGCAGTTCTATTCAGCTTCCTTTGTCGGGGACATGCGTGAAGTAGTGGCACATGTTGGCTCTAGATACCCAGAAGCTAATCTGTATGCTGTTAGTTGGTCTCTTGGTGCTAACATTCTTGTTCGATATCTTGGTGATGTAAGATCGCAACATAAATGATTATATATAAAAATATTTTGCTTTAATAGTGATACTCATACTCGAGTGTGAATGCATGTGTTCGATAAGGAATGTTCAATTTTTTGGGGTTTTTTTTCTTCTCATGGTTTTGGAGAGTCCTTGGAGGATCATATCCTATATTCATATCTCATAATGTGTCCGACATGATATTTAAGAGTAGGAACATAGGTGACAGATGGAAGTTAGTTTACCCATATGTCTTTGTGTTTTAGAGTTTATACTAAAATATGGCTTGAATAGTTGTTTTTAATCTGATTTTGCTACTGGTCTACTCTATGTTCGTTGCTTTGGAATATGAAAATTTGTACTTTTTTTATCCCATTCTGTTCTCCATCTTCATTTGTTCCTTTGGTTGCACTCCACTTGCAGGAATCTCATGCTTGCCCTCTTTCCGGTGCTGTCTCATTGTGCAATCCTTTCAATTTGGTTGATGCTTTTGAGGAATTCACCAAGGGCTTTAACCGTGTTTACGACAGAGCTCTTGCTAGATCCATCCGTGAAATATTCAAGAAGTAATTCTCCACAAGCCACATTTTGTTCGACTTCCACTTTTATCAACTCGACATTCCAGTTTCCGCATCATCACTTGATTCTTTTGTGTTCTATAGGCATATCCTCCTATTCGAAGACATCGGGGGTGAATTCAACATTCCCTTGGCTTTAAACGCAGAACGCGTTAGGGACTTTGACGAAGGATTAACACGAGGTATGCTCTTAACTACTGTTTTAGTTTCGAGAAGTGGAATGGGATCTATACTGAAACATTTTTTACTTATATCTTTCTATGTTGCCTTGCAGTTTCGTTTGGTTTTAAGTCGTTGGATGAGTACTACTACAAGGCTAGCTGTTTTCATTCCATAAAACATGTTCAAATTCCATTGCTCTGCATCCAGGTGATATATTTGTAACGATTCCGATAAAGCTTTTCCTCGGATTCTTACCTACTACTACCATATTGTTGAACATCTTCTTTATTAAGTTGCCATTTCTATGACACGCATTGCTGTTTAGCCATCCATTTATTTTGCTTATCTTTTGAGTAGAAGTTGCATTTTTGCTCAGTTTTTGGAAATTTCCCCGACTGCCTGCAACTTATTATTTAAAACTGTGCTATTGCAGGCTGCAAATGATCCGATTTCACCTGCTAGGGCAATTCCTCGGCAAGAAATCGAGGTACATCGATAGCTCTCTAGTTTATCGAGCTATACGTTTTTCAGTTTGAATTTAAGCATTCTCATGGAATGGGCTAACCATGTAGACAAGCATTCTCATGGAATGGACTAACCATGTAGACAAACCTCCATTTTATAGAATCTGTATATGGCTGACATAAAGACTCCTAAATCCAATTTTGCGGCACCTCTTCTCTCGATATCCAATTGATTGAGGCCTGAATCTAGTTTTTCCTTCCCTCGTCATTCATGCGAGACATTATATATTATATTCGAACACGGCACAGATGGCTGCAAATGCATGTTAAGCTACGATTAATCCTGCAGATATCCTCTTCGTTTCAAAGCATTGTTTCTAATGACAGTTTTACGGTTGTTGTCTTAGGCTAATCGGAACTGTTTGTTAATAGTGACACCCAAAGGTGGGCATTTAGGGTGGGTTGCAGGTGCCGAGGCGCCTCTAGGAGGTCCATGGTCCGATCCCGTGGTGATGGATTTTCTCGAGCTGTTGGAAAGAGGTATACAAAAGACTCCCGGATTGCCTAACGATTCGTTAGCTAGTCCAGAAGGATTGCATCACGTACACGTATAGCAAGCAAAATTATACATGGATTAAGTTCGATGAATAGCATCGTCAATTCAATTCTTTATTTATCGAACTATATCTGTAGCCGTTGTACCATGGCCGAAAATCGTGTCCTAAGGGACCTTGTATGATGATGACCAGATGATGGGTGTGCTATCAATTCTCACTGCATCGACATTTTTCTTCTGCATTTGCTTTCATGTGCAATATGGACCCACCTTGTATCTTGCAGTAATGGCGGAACTTAACATCATTTGTTGAAAGGATCATTTAAAATATGTAAACTTACAAGATAAATAATGAATTATATATTTTTTGGAGGACAATGAAGTTTTAATGAGTAAACTCTCTTTGGACAAATAAAAAAAACTCTGGAGAGAGAGAGAGAGAGAGAGAAACTCTATTGTAAGTCTCCTATCAAGGATAGGTTTATCAATCACTACTGTAATACCTCATTTTTTTCTTGGGTTAAATATTTGTTAATTTTAAGTATTTAATTTAATTTTTTGTATATTTTCACCTCTAATATTTAAAATAACTTCAAATATTTGACATTTTTCTTATAAAGCTTTATATGTGATTACAAGTAATTGAGCAACTCAGATGGCTTAATCAAACATGGCGAATTAATTTTTTCCCCCTCTTTTATAAATCAAATTCTTGTTGATTTCTCCCATATTTCCTCAAGTTCCTCGGCAAATTCCCTTTGTCTACCAACAACTATCGTAATGTGATCTTTGTTTTCGACAACCTTAACTCGAGCACGAGGGATTCTCCTCTTAACATTATAACTACATTCGAGTGGGATAACCTTGTCGTCCTTGCCATGCAACACATTGACGTCGCAGTTTAGCCGGTCACGGACGACATCCAAGTAGCGGTCAAGCTTGCCGGCGGTGCCGAAAATAATGTTGTGGAGAGTATGCCAGGAGGCGATATGGGAGTGTCGGATGAACCCTTCGAGCAAGTAGGTCCTCATCCTGGCAACAAAAAAGTGAATAGTTGTAATAAAAATTGCATTGAAAGTCAAGAGAGATGGTAGATGATGATTCAGTGGCATAAATTAATGATTTTTTTATGACTAGAAAAGGGGATGGCAGAAACCCTAATAAATGAAATGCACCCAATTTTCTTGCATTAAACATCTATCTCCATCAAATGTGACTTTATCCATAATTATATTTTATTCAGATTCGAATGAAAAATCAAAATTTAATTCGATCATCAATAAGTAAATATATTTAATTTTTATCTCAAGTTGAACTTAAAATTTGCAGACATAATCTAATCTAATTCTACAAGTTTTGAATTAAAATCGAACTTTTTATTATTCAGACTCGAATAAACTCAAATACCCGTAAACAGGACCACTTTGAGCAGTGCCCAAAGTACAGTACAATCTGAAATGGACTAATCTACCAAATTTCCTTGGACGGTGAGATTTACTTTGTGACAAATGCTCCACCACTTGTAGCCTTGTAGGGCAGCTGTGCTGGGATAAATGGGGTTAGGTGGGTAAATTTATGAATGATCATGAAATTTTTCATGTTTTGGTTGAAGCAAGAGCACCCTCAATTAAGTATTAGAGTTCAATATATGTGTGTGTGTGTGTGTGAAACTTGTGATATGTTTGAGCATGACCTATGAGATGTTCGAGATTGTAAATTGATGAAATTATAACTTACATGTTTCTATGATAAGTTTAAAGACTTACTTGTTTCTGGTGATAAGTTGAAAGAGAAAATCCCACAACTGGTGATTCTTGCACAAAACCAACGAAACCGTTCGGGCGATGTGCTTGTAGCGTCCTCCGACAGATGCACAAAACGACATCGGTGGCCACACCCGTTGTGGTGCTACTCGTCGCATGACATATTGAGTCGCCGGTTCACCTTTTGGCACTTGGTAATACGGCTGTCATTGCACATTCATAGACATTAAACGGGCTGCAAATGGTGAAAACTTACTAAATGAACAAAGGAATTTAATTTACCGGAGCAAGTAAGGTGAGGGACTTGACGGATCCCGGGTGTTTAACGGCGATAGCAAGTGCTAAAATGCAGCCTAATGAATGTGCCACGATGTGGAAAGATTCTACATTGTAAGCTTCGAGCACGGATTTTTCAATCATTTCGACATGTTCTCGTAAGGTGTAAAGCGAATCGTTCGGCTTCGGGCTTCGAGCGAAACCGAGTAAATCAACCGCTAAGAACCTGTAAGTTGATTTAGCTTTGCTTGAAAAATTAGGGAACAAAGTTTCGGTCCAAAATGCTGATGATGAGACGAAGCCATGGATGAATAACACATCTTCCTTTGCTTTATCTGATATCACAAATGAGAGATTAATAGTAATACAATGATAATCAAAGTTAATTCCGAGTAATATTTGATTGAATCAAAGGTTTACAGGTCGAGGAGTTATATTCTCGACCTGTGAACCTATAACGCTATCTAAAAAACCTGGAGTACCGTTCGGGCTTGCGGCTTTAACGTAGAGGGTGCCTTTGGTAGAATAGGTCCAAGAATTGCAGAAATGACAATCACAATCGGACCAACGAGTAATGGGGTACAAATGCTGCCCGATCATCCTTCCTTGAAGCATTTTAACAATGGTGGAGTTGATGGTGATCGTCGATCTCACCGTTCCTTTCTTGATCTTGTCGTTCGATCGTACGAAATCGGCATCGAACTTGAGCTTCTTGAGCTCGTTAATGGTGAGCTTCGAGATTTCGGTGACAAACGAAGGCCGTGAATAAAGGGTGTCCGAAATTTCCTCCAATTGCAACCTGCTTGAACTGAGACAAACAACCTCGGACTCTTTCTCCCCTCCCTCCGACACAATGATCTTGCCGGCGCCACCGCCACAACCAGGCTTCTTCCATTCAGATTCAATGCAGAAATCAAGGACTGTGTAAACAAAACATAGAACTAAATCAACAAGGTCGAGGAAGCAAAAGACAACGAAGCTAACAGCTACATTCAAAACCCCTCCCATTAACGTCAAAACCGTTCTAGTTTTACACATCACATCCATTTCAGACAACCTCATTGGAGACCACAAGAGAGAGACAAAAAATGACAATGTCGAAAACAAAGATCTGGGTTTTCCAGAGATATAAACTATGATATCATGCCTCTTTATACAAGTTGTCTGAAAACTGATGGACGCTGTTTTAGTCAGTCCACCATGATCGACATTTTCTTGACCTTTGAGTGATGAAATGGAAGAGTGTGAGACAGACAGATAGAGAGAGAGAGAGAGAGTCAAGGAAGCACACAAACAAGTGCGGAATCAATGAACTCATGGATTGATTTAACATGGTCTTGTAGGCCAGAAAATAAAAACAAGGTAGTTGGTGGTTGAACCTCCGCCACGAAGAAACACTTCTTACAAAATTCTTCTCTTTTCTTGCCAAGTATCAACCCTAAATTTAATCTTCCTTCCCATACCTTATTGTTGAGGTTTAGGGTTACTAAATAATCAATTGACATTTCAATTATAACTTAAAGACAATATTAATCCATTGTAAGAGGTTTAATCAACCGTTCAAAATATGATATTTTATCAACTTCGTATAGATATCCAATAAATTTTTACTTATTAAATTAATTTATTGATAACAAATATATCTCACTAATTATTAACCGATTATTTAGTATAACTTAATTGTCAATATATGAATTTATATTACTATAACCTTTGTTACGTCTTCTTTATATCTTCTCTTTTTTTTTCTTTTTATCGTCTCTCGTTTTTGTTTTACATATCTGAATATCTTTTAGATAAATTTTTATTGTACTATCCAAAAGAAGCAGTTAACTGCTACAATCAAACAAAACCAACAACAGGGATCCCTAAACGAACAACCCCCACCGATTACAAAATTGAGAATTAACCAACTCCAACCTATCAACCTTCCCATTAGCAAGCCTAGCTTGCACAGCTCCTTTTGATAATTTGCAAAACATCAGAAGAATAACGAGTTGTCCCCTGAAAAAAACTGTAATTCCTCTCTTCCCATATGTGCGATATAAGCACTTTAAGTAAGTTTAAAAATAGCAACCAGAAGAGATTTCCCTTCAAGATGCAAGGTCGCCCATCCAAGCTCCTCTTCCCATTTCATGGCCTGTATGCGAAGCCCGCAAAGCCTTAGAATAGCCTCCAAGAGTTCCCTCGCAAAAGCGCAGTTGAAAAAAATAGTCTCTGGTTTCCAAGGCATTACAGCACACGACACAACATCCATCAATACTAATCCCTATACGCAAGCATTTATCTTTAGTGGACAGCCTCTCCAAGATAGTCATCCAAGCCACAATCTCATGCTCAGGAATATGACATGGAAAGCAAATCAACTTCTGGCAAGGCACCTTATCACCTCTTGGTCTGATTTCTTTTTAGTAGTGCTAGTTTTCAACACTCCCTACCAAAAACTGCAACAAAAAGGGACGGAGTCTTGGGCCGCATCTTCAACATCTTCCTAAGACTCCAGCTAATATCATTGTCATGGTATTAAATTGCGGTCGCATCGTAACGGTTTTGAAGGTCACCGCGATACAATATTAACGTAAACTGTAACACGTTAAAAAATCATGCCCGCGACAACCGCAACACGTTACGTAACGTCCGCAGTATCCGCAACCGCGACACCGTAACCGCAACAGATGCCACAACCATTATTTTATAATATGATCATTGTTGACATCCACCTTCCAAAAGTCTCCTCCCTTGAGAACATAAGCATTAATCCAAGCCACCCACAATGAGCCCTTACCAACTGGGATGCTTTAATAAAGTGAAAAACAAAATCTCTGTTCCAGCTGCTAATGTCCTTAACACCAAGGTCACCCTCAGGCTTCAAATAACAAATCTGCTTCCAGGTAACTCTAGCTCCTTCAGTAACAAAATCAGCCCATTTCAGAAAAATCTTGAACAAAGTTTATCAACCCTTTTAATGACACGTTGAGGAAGGAAAAGTTGTCTGCGCCAGTAGTATATATATGAATTTTGTATGTTATTTTATATAATATTTTATGATGGATGATTGTTTGTATATTCTTGTAATATTTTCTTTTTCATAGTTAAATTTATCGTTGTCTCATTCGTTCACATTTATTTAGTTATACTATTAATCTATTTATATTTTAGAATCTCGAGACGATTCTCTTATATTAATAACTACTCACAAACACCTTAATAATTAATATGATGTGTTTGAGTTAATTCTTGTTCTTTAATTCATACATATTAGACATATTCATCGAGATAATATTAATTTAGTATGGGTATGTTTAACATTTATCTGCATTTATTAATTACGCAATGTAAAAATCATTAATAAGTTAATTCTCAAACTAAAATTTGATCACAAATGATTAATGAAGATGATTCCTAGAATAGTAAGGTTCCAAAGTTAATAGCTAATGCTTTAGTATTGAATTTGAGGCCGCTATCCACACAAGGAAATCTAAGAATAACGTGAAAGCACTTTTCAAATCTCACTATTAGAGGAGCTGTATTGTATTAAGAGTTAATTGCAGCACATTTCCTCAAAGTATGATTCTCATTTTAAATTGGTCCCTAAACTTTTAATTGTTCCAATTTCATCCCTAAACTATAACTATAATTCTAAATTAGTCCTCAAACTTTAGAGCATTTCAATTTCATTCCCAAACTATGACCTAAATTGGTCTCTAAACTTTTTGAACATTCCAATTTCATCCCAAGATATATATATATATATATATATACTAATCACATCCCTTGTTAATAAGATCATTCGGCCAAAATTTAGGTTAGATTATGATTGAAACTAATTACATATTTGGATGAATTTGGAGAAGAAATTGGAATATTCAAAAGTTTGGGGACTAATCTATAAAGAGGGTCATAGTTTAGGGATGAAATTAGAATGTTCAAAAGTTTAAGGACTAATTTAGAACTTGAGTCATAGTTTGAGGATGGAATTGGAATATTCAAAAGTTTATGGACCAATTTGAAATGAGGGTCATAGTTGGGGGACATATGATGCAATTAACTCTTGTATTACAATAATCTTTCTATTATTAAATAGATCAATTTGATTAATTTATTATAGAGATTGATTCATGTTAGTATTGATATAGAGATTAGTTCAATTTAATCCATGTAATAGTACAAAGATTTAAATAAAATCATTTTTTATAAATTAATATTTAATAATTAAAAATGTAAATTATTAAAGAGTAAAACATGATTTATACACAGAAGAGCTATAATTATTTTTGTAAAGATAAGAGGATATTTTCCAAAATATAAAAGTAGTTGGAATTGCCATCAAATTTTAGGGAGGTAAACGTAGTTTTCCCAAATATTAATTTTTTTAATATATAAAATATAAATATAATAGTATATAGATTCTCGAGATCTAAGCATTAATATTAATGAGGGTTGTTTGATGATAGGATACGAGTTCAAAGTTCTTGCCCTCTTTAGAACCCGTTCAACAAAGTACATACCAATGTCCGTTATATATAAATAAACGTATAGAGTAATTTATTTAAATATATTATTAATTTTAATTATTAATTTTTATTTATTTAACGATTTAAAATATATATATTTTAAAATCTTGACAATACATCAACAACTCTTATATCATACCTCTCATATGGTTACGATCCACTTACACTAGTATAAAACTTTTAGTTTTACATTTTTTTAAGATCGTTGTATGAGGGAAATCAAAGGCTGAGTAAACTCCTTGTTTTTTTCTCAATGAATATTTTTATATTTCTTACTATTAATCTCAGCATTTGATTTTCTTTCATCTAACGATCTTAAAAACATATGAATTTTTTTAGTTTTACACTCTCTCTCTCTATATATATATATATATATTATCTGATATTCTTGATAATCGATAATTATGTAAATTCTAATTATATTTAAAAATAAATAGGTTGAATCTTTCAATGGGTAGTAAAACTTTTTTAGTATTATTTTCTGTACATAAGACTCTAATTAAAATTTTATTAAAAAAAATATTAAATAATATATTATCGACATATTAATTAAATATAATATAAATTACTAATTTAAATGAAAAATGAAGATTCCTATTATCTAAATGTGTACTGAAGCTTCAACTTATTTAAGCAAAAGTAAGAAAGCTTCAGAAGCCATTAATGGCGCGGCCACGTGTTGGGTACAAAAAGGATCAGAAGGCGAAGAAAATGGTGGCACTTGAAATTAATTTCACTCTTCTCTGAGCTGTTTCCATTTATCCTTGAAAACGATGCTTCAAAATATTATACATACATACATGCATGCATATGGAATCTGTTTGAAACAGTTTCGTGTATGATTTATTGAGTGATGAAATAAATAAAGACGGAATTGAAATTATTTGCAAAACACTCGACCCGAAATGAGATTAGTAAGGGATGGATTAGTGGGGGGTTCCGCCGGGGGGGGGGGGGAATGGCTCAAGTACGCATTGTATTATTTTTTAAACTAGAATTATTGTTATAGTATTAAGAAAAAAACGTCGAAATATAATATGATTTTATTTTTTTTAGGAAGTCGTGAAGATCACATTGCGTCTTCTCCATCACCAAATTTTTTTTCTCTACAAAGTTGAAGACACATTAGAATTCATGCGTTTTTCATTAGATAATTAAAATCGCGTGGTGTTTCTGAAATCTTCTTCTTGATACTGTAATAATGATCTTATTTCAGAAAATAATATAGTGAAAGTCTTACATAAGAGAAAAATTTCTACTGCGCTATATGATCAAGTAAGCCTTTAAATCTCTTTATATTTTGGATGTTTTATTTAGATGTTTTATTGATTATCTAATATTGCAGTCTTAAGCTTTTAATATGTAGACTATGCATGTAATATTTGAGCTATTAGTTTTATTTTGTTTTAGTATCTAAATTTTTATTTATTTCAAAATCATACCTAATATTTATTTTTTTCATTTTAGTACCCGTAGTTAAAAACTTAACGGAACTATTACATGTGACATTTTTATGGGTGAATTACATCATTCGTCACTTAACTATATTCTTATTCATTTTTTGGTCACTAAAGTTAAAAAATCAATTTAACTACTCAACTTTCAAATTGCTCATGTTTCAATCACTCTAAATAATTTTATTAATATTTTTTGTGACATGAATTTTTTTATTTTATTAATATATAATTAAAATTAAAAAAAAAATTGAAAGTTAGAGTGATTAAATTAGGAGTAATTTGAAAGTTAAGTATTTAAA